CACAACCGTATTTGGTACCGCGTGAAAGAAGATAAAATTCTACATCACTAGTTGCCAAAATAAAAGTTCTTAGTTGTTTACTTCATTTGCAGTGTGTCTTCAAAGTTCAGTAATTATTATTATTTTTGCGCGCATTGGTTAAAAGTGAAAATTTGTATACCTCAAGTGATTATTTTTTTAATTAAGACTTCTAAAAGTGAAAGTTTTATTATGGAGCCGTCAACTTCAGGTATTTGAGCATATGATAAACATTTGTTTGTTTAGATAAATGTTTTGGAAATAAAAAAAAAAAATAAATGAAATTGGTCCAAAAATGTTGTATTTTTNGGTGTTTATATTGAGTTTCAACAACTTTCCGGGTGAAATCGGGAAAAACCGCTTATATGCTCTTGAAGTATGATATTTCAGCTAATAAATCCCAAAAAATCTTTTTGCAGTTGTTTGCAATTTTTTGACTTATTAAAATTTTTGTAAAAGAACTCCAGTTGCAAAAAATCTAAGTGAAAAAAAAAACAAACAAAAAAGCGCGTTGTTTTTATTGTCTTTTGTCTTTATATTCCGTTTAGTAGTTGTTATTGAAGCTACAGAGTGTGCAGTTTATTAGAGATGGGTGCGTGACTAATTTTAAACCACGCGCACTCACGAAAAAAAAATTAATTCCGGTTTATTCACAACGAATAAAATTTTTCATATATTTTCTGACATCACAAGTTTGAATTTCACTCACGAGCGAGAAATTATGTCGTAAATAGTTAATATTTATTTTATTAAAGCTTAGTGCATAAATACTTAGAGCTTAGTCACTATAAAAATAAATTTAGTCACGCTTCCATCTCTACCCTACGTGATAAATGTTGGTCATGTACATACATGCGAACATACGAGTACTGTTGTCGTCTTAACTTAAGTAAAAAATTTTACTAATTTCAGGAACAAGTCCCAAAACAATTTTTATTTCTCGCCATGAGTTACATAACTTTATGAAGAATTTAGAACCTAAATCACTTCAAGATCGATTTAATCTTCTGAGGTGGGAATTAATCACACGAGTTGATCCTTCAGATAAGGTAGATTTCAGCAAAAGATTTAAGATTTTATCAAGATTTTATTTACTTCATTCACGGGCCAGAAATTATAGCGCTGGCACCATTGCCTATTGGTCAGCTGACTGAAGAATCTCAGGAAGCCAGAAATAAGGACTTCAAAAGCTATAGGGAGCACTTTTCGCGTAAATCCAGTCGGGAAAATACAATAGAAGACGTGTTTAATAGATTTCTTTTAAGTTCAGATCCATTTATTTCAAGCAATTTGAAGAGTTGTAAAAAGAATAAAGAGCAAATGCCGCAGTCTGCATTGGAGTTACTTGTTCTTCCTAAAAACGAAAATGATAATGGTGACGAAGAAGATGAAGATGATGAATATGATGAAGATTAAGATTATTTTAACGAATTTTACCATGATTATGAAGTAAATGATGATTATGAAGTAAACTAATTTTATGATGATTATGAAGTAAATGATGATTACGAAGTAAATGATGATTATGAAGTATATAATACTTTTCAAATTAATGAAATGAAGTAAATAAAAATACCTTACAATTATGTTTTTTTTTTTAAATATTTTTTTCCTGCAATGGTTGTTTGTTTTATTTTTATATTTTGTTTATGAATATTTGTCAATAAGAAATAATAATATTTTCTAATGTAACTTTTTTAAATTTGTGGAATTATGGAATTTGAAGAAAAAAAAATCGGATTTTAATTTAAAATTTTGCTAATTTAAATACATATTAAATATTTATTAATTTATATTTTTCAAAAACACAATTTTTTTCTAAAAGCACGTTAAGTAAGCTCTAATTTTCAATTGCATTTACTAATTTATCGTTTTTCTTTCCAAACTTATAGCGAAAATTGTGAAATAAGACCTTTTTTTCCAAAATACAAAAAAGCCCATAAAAGATTAAAAAAAAATTTTTTTTTATTATTTTTTTTTAAATTATTTTTTTTATGTATTTATGAATAACCATCAATAAAAAATAATAATATTTTAAAATTACGGCTTCCCTGAATTAATCGCCACTTTGCATACCGTTCAACCCACTGTGCGTCGTTGAAGAGAAATGGGAGCAAAATCGTCAAGTTCAGAAGGTCTGAACCGACAAACGGTTTTAGAGCGAAATAAGAAGAAGAAGTTTGCCTAAATAACAAAAATAGAAAATAAATATTAAAATATATCGCGTAATAATGAAACAACCCCCCTCCTTAATACATAATCGTGGTGATAATTTTTCAGGTGGGTTACTCTGTAATGCGATGCGAAAACAAATGATTCGCATTCGCGCAAACACATCGTACGTAATACACAGGGGGGATTGCCTATCGCATCGCATTTCTCTGTCGTATCGCATTACAGAGTAGCCCCCCAGATCCCCCTCCCCTCTAAAAGGACAACGTGATTTATGGACGCAAAAACAGGTTTTACTTCATCATGTTTCAAGCATCCCGAGCATTCGGACTCGGCCTTCATATTAGCCCAAGAAATTTTGGATGTTCAGGTTGTCACATTTTTCATTATTGTGCGTAGTGTAGATATCCATTTTATTTGAGACCTTAAAAAACGCTTTAAAACATTTTGGGAAAATCGCAGATAAGTAAAATAAGTTCAGTTTTGTCGTATGGTGGTGCCTTTTGTCCGTAATCTACATAGCAGAAACATAGAAAATGATTTCTATACTCTAACCATTGGAAATGTAAGCTCAACAGTATATATTCGGCGGATGATTTATACCGCAAGCTCTAATTTTAAAAAATTCTTTATCTCCTCACTTTTTGCAATAGTCCCCTTTTTAAGAAAATCGCAAATTCGAAGACTCGAACCATGCGTTAACCCGAACAGGTGTTTGAGTTATCGCGAGTGCACTGTATTTTCAATACGTTTATTTCTCCCATGATCTAATGGTTCACATTTACTTGTCTCATTAGATTTAACTTAAAGTAAATGGTTTTAAAGGCCATGTTGTATCAAGAGTTTCATCACTGATTTAGATTTTTTTTTTTTTTTTGATTTCAACATGCAGTCATTCGTAATCCTCACAAAAACAAAAACGTAAAAATTATAAGACAAGTTGCAATATGTTTTTTGCAAATTCTGCCTTTTCTTTTAATTAATCTACATAGATTACTTTTATTTTTTTTCAACGACAAATTTTCTTAAAAAGAATTCCTGCAACTATCCTTCAAAGATCAGATCTTGACACTAAAGCCTTCAGTTAACAATAGCCTAGCTTTTGTCTGTAAAAAGGCAAGGCAACCACAAAACTAGAGTGGGCAATACTTGAACTGGCATATAGGGAGAAAAAAACAAATAATAAATAAATCTGCACCCCTGGCATAAAATCGAAAAGGCAGCATGCAACAGACGCCACTTGAGAGTAGCAAACACAAAGATGCATTGCTGTTATGCCACAAGAAAGAAATATGCGACAGACGAACTCAAAACAGGAGCCACTGACCCGTGCCAAATGGCTGCAAGAGTCACATAAAATCCGGTACGAAAAATTAAAAAAAAAAAACAAAAAATGATACATATCAGCTGATGAGCAAAAAGGGAGACAATTCACAGTTGGTGCCACAAGTACACATATGCATGTGTGGTGATTGTTTAGAACCCAAGTGGCAGCTGCTTACAACCGGTTTAAGAAATTCAAAAAGGATACTCTTTCATACATATGCGATATTCATATAGGGGCATTAAAGAGGGTGTGTAATTTCCCATTGCGCGAGGTCACTTAGGTTATACAATAGATTAATGCACATACATATGTACATACACACTTACAAAGCAAACGACATAAGTGTTTATTCTGCTGTGTAATTTGATATGGATTTCAAATAATTTCATTTAGTTACATTTTTGCCGCCATCAGGAGTAGCCTGCTGCCCGCCAGAGCGTTTGCTAATTGGCTTAAATAAACATAATACAAATTTATAAAAGAGCATTAAAATCCCAATGAAAATAAACCAACATTACTTGGAAATTTTCAGCGAAACACAATAACAGATTCAACAAAGACAACGAAAATAATTGTTTTGGCAAAACTCAACAGTTTTCAAGGATATCTGTATGTAGGGGTCGCTATTCCAAAAGGCAACAATTCAAAAAGCAATAAATGTGCACATTTGCTGTTGTGAGCCTTTGTAAAGTACAACAACAAGAACACAATAAAAACGATAGCATTAACAATTAGGTCAGTTTATCGCGTCAACACGCCTGTGACAGCCACAAACGTTTTGTTGTTGTTTGTATTACTATTGTTGATTGGCCAGCTGGCGCTTATCGGCAAGGCATATTTTTCTAAAAAAAAAAGACTGCTGTATTATATATGTAGGCATGTATTTGCTCGTACAATAACAACAAATATGTTTAATTTCCTATCAGTAAACTGATATCGAATGCTCTTTTATGTGTTGCTCGGCGTAATTTTTTTACTTCAAATCGAATTGGCATACATATTCGATTTGTGCGCCATGTGGTAGCATATTTGTGGGCGTTGAAATTCGTATATAGGGAAGAAAAATATTTTTGCTTATCTTTATGGTTTGCGGCCCCTAATTTTTGCATAGCCACTGTTGCAGCGAATTTATGCAGCTGCAAATTTTTGTATAAAAGCAATTTATTGTTATGATATTATTTGTTTAAATTACTCGTAGACTGCTTTCTGAATAATTTTATTTTTCAGAAATGATTTTAGCTCATAATTTCTTTTAATAGTTTACTTGCTTAGATATTCTTTCCCTATATATTTTTATTACTAATATGATAACTATGTGGTCACTTAAGCGCATTCACAACTTTGTTGATCTTTAACTCACACTTTAACTTGTTGCATTATTTTTTTTTTAGATATAGATTGACTCAATAATAAAGCATTTTTCGAAATCATTTTTTTTTTTATTTCATCATGTTTTTAGTCTATGAAACAAAATATCCGTTAAATGACCACATATTGTCCAAGTCCATGTCATCTAACTCAGCCCATAACAAGTCTGTTTCCATGTCGCGCGTCGCGCGAGCGCATACCGTTCACCGTATCAGAGTTACATGCATCACTTTCGAAGAAGTACGGGTCGATAAATCCGCCAGCCCAAAAACCACACCAAACAGTGACTCGTTGTGGTTGATTTGCTTTTCGTGAATGACATGTGGATTTTCAAAAGATTTTTTGGTAAATATACGGCACAACAAATGGTGTCTATGCTTTAGTTCCTATGCCAGTGGATTTTGTAGGCGTTTAAACTTAAGTCTTTTGTTAAAATCTGCTGAAAAGTGCTGTAGGGAGGGTTCAATTGCTGTTCACGACGACGAATTGAGGTTCTCGCGGCCTGGTCCACATTTCATTTCACAGCGGAAATATTTTCACCCGAATGACCTGTACAAAGAGGCACGGATGTTATCACATTTTAGAACGACCCAGTTTCTTCGATTTTCTGAACAAAACGGCTGATCAATAACTCAGATGGCCACTTGGAAAATGATTATTTTCATGAAACTTCTGCGTAACTTTTACGCATTGTTCAACTGAGTATCGCTCCATGACTAAGTCTGCCGAAGCTTTTAGTTCCAACTGGCTGAAAAAAAATAAATAAAGACATTAACATACCATAAATAACACAATACATTAAGGTGTCTCATCAGATACGGCGCTATTTTTATTCCGAAATTCGATACGCATACCTAATGTCGATTGGCACGTGGAGCTTTGTGCATTGCTTTAGAGGAATATGCTTTGATGAAGTCCTTGGCCTTACGACAGGTCATCAAGATGACCCGTTGTCAATCTGCAGCCATCTCCAGGTGATGAAGTTACTACAGGAGGTCATAAAACGCTCGGTATTTGCGCTACAAGCGTCCCGGTGCCATTCTACGTTTGTGAGAGCAACTACTTGTAGTGCTTTGACTTCCCGTACTAAGGTGAAATCAATTTTGATAGCTGAGGTTGCATTAACTGTTACTCGTCGATAGCGTTTTGTACCTTTAAAGAGCTCGGTGATGCCATAGCTTCAGTTTTTCTTCACTTGTAGTTTCTTCACTTAATCTTTCCGTTGTGTTCGTGTGCGCTCATTCTTGATTCTCCACCCATAATTAGCGATATGAGCTCTGCTTGGACAAGACGTTGTAGACAGGACATTGTAAATGCAAATTTCTCTTCATGCTATAAAAATCGGCTTTGAAATAAATCAAATGGCGGTATTTTTCGATTGGATCTTACCTGGATTTTACACACTATGTAAATTTAGTCGATAGTTGGTTTACCAGTTTCGAAGCCGCGCTGATGAGGGGCAGTTAATTGGTTCAATATTGTCATTTATAAAGTTCATTATTGTTGTTCTAACCTAGCGCCACTTAGGGTTTGCGTTTCGCTTCATATATATCTCAAGGGCACCATGGACGTCTGTTACTTGATTTCCATCTTTGTGTTTGCAGAAAGCAGCCCCGATCTTGTCATCATTTTACTGCTGCCTTATTTTCTGAATTTCTTCCTCTTTCAAGCACTTTTGTGGCATTTTGGAATGCTCATTTAATTGAAGATGATCTAGTTAGGACTGCTAAACAATTTTTTTTTGCAAATAAAAATTACGAGTGGTAGCTCTTCAACACGAAATTAAATGCGGAATAAACCTCTTGAAGCATTCCCATTTTTCAATCTCAAATACAGAATGCTTTGCATACTTGCAACTTAAGTCCCCGCATATTTTTGGAAAACAAAAAAGCGAGATAAAAATCTTTATTTATTCTGAAGTTTTTTTTTTGTAGGATTAAGCGAGTTTCACATTAAAATTGTTTGCTGTAATGCGCTCCTTACGAACGCCTCTGCGAGCTCGCATTTCAGTACTTTATTAACTATACATGTGTACATAAATATGTATGTACATATGTACTTGGGGGAAAAATATGAGAACCCACGAAAAATGGAATCTGAAAAATGAACTATCAAATAAATAAAACTCCCTTGGCGTTTATGGAACTGAACCGGATCACTTGAAGGGCGGATTCAATATGTGAATATGTGTAGATGCAGCTGAGCGGCTGAATGCAGTTATTAAAGTGCCGTCAGAATGGGTAAGTACTTCAACGCCGGAAAAGTGTTGAAGGAAGTGACGCAGATGACGTACAGAGACGCCACAATGAAGGCGTTGCGTATGCAAACACAAATCAGCTGTCGTCTATTACCGCCTATACAATTGCCAGTATTGCCGGACTTACTTATGTCAAAAGTTTAGAGCTACCAGACTTTCATTGGTTCCGTCGACGAAAGAGCTACCAACCTACCCCTCTCTGCAAACAGTGCGCTTTCTCCTACGATAACATAAATACATACTAACAAGTAGAGCAAACTTTGTAAAAAGAAGCTAGGCTGTAGATGAAAGACAACACCTAAAAAAAAAGCAGACAAAACCAACAAAAGATACCAAAAAGATGTACAAATAAATGCTGCAACAAGGCGTCGTCTGCTACGAAGAGTCTGACAAAAAGGTGGAAAAAGTAGGTGCGACATTTCCTTTGCGACAGCAACAACAAAAAAATCTTTGCACACGGTGCATTTTTGTGCATACCTGTACTACTCGTTTGTTTACTTGGACTCATTTAAGAAATGGAGAGAAGCGATATAAAAATACGTACATACATACTAGGGTGACCCTTAAAAATAGAGCATATAAATTTTGTATGGGACACCCCTTTTGTTTTGTGCTACGTACAAAATAAGTATATCCATAAATATTCTAAAATTTTAAACAAATTTTAGTGGTCGCTGCCAGAACTTGAAAAATAATTAAGTTTTTTTTTGAAAAATCGCTAAACTACCAAAAAAATTTTGACTTGAAATCTGATAAATTTGACATATTATTGAAATTAATTCATATAAATTCTGAGTTGTAACTGGTCAAAAACTGGTCTTGTAAAATTTTTGCGATTTTTTTTAATATTTTTTTTTCAAGCCGTGTTAGCGCCTCCTATTTTTATACCCGAGCGCACTTGTGCACAAGGGTATATTAATTTTGTTCACATAACGGTTGTTTGTAACAGCCAAAACGAATCGAGATAGATATAGACAAATGTATACATAAATGATCAG